CAAGGGAAATGGGGAAAAATTAAAGGAAAGAGATTAAATTTAGAAAGCAAATTTATGATTTAAAAATATTCTAAGGAATAGTCAGTGCCTGCCAAGGGGTAAAACTGATTTTGAGAAAGGAAGAAATGTCAGAGATATTCAACACTGCACTTCATTTTACATACACATTGTGGTAAAAAATATGTGAAACAATTATGATCAACGTAAATATAAATAAAATTGGTTGCAAGAGAAAAAAACAGAAGTACAAAAGGCATCAGTCACTGGGTGCTAATCATAAGTAGAAAGTCAGAAAGGAAACAGTAGACATGAGCCCAAATTTTTCAGTCTCCGAATCACTGAAGATCAGACATAGGGCTGAAACGTGCATCAGGACCCCATGAAAGTCCAAACAGGAGATGGGAATAGCTCAGTGATTCAGGGTGCAAAGGAAACCAAAATTAGATTATTTCCGATATCATGAAGGGTGTGAGTGACTGAAGGAGATTACCATAACAAGGAGAAATGAGGGTAGAGAAACATTTTGAAACAGAGCGAGAATTTTAAAAATCAAAACTTTGCTTGACCTGAAACCAATGTAGGTTAGCAGGCAAAGAGGGGGTCAGACAACACTCCCTCTAATTTTTTCCCCATTGCGCTGAGCTCCAAGATCCATGTGCGGCAGCAACTTCTGAAGCCGGAAGTCAAAGCGTGGAATGGGGCTTGCTATAAGTTTAGACACAAACATGTGAATTTTCTAACACCTCCAGTTTACTAATGGTTAAATGTGGGTGATGAGGAGGAGTGTATTAGAATGGCTGTGTATGGAAGTAACAAAGGCATGAGAGGGTTTTAGCACATGAGCTGAGATGGGCAAATGCAAATTGTTACATAGTACAGGAGAACAGCCAAATGCAACAATTTGTTCAAGGGGAAGAATTTGAATTAGAACGCCACTTCAAGATTTGTTATATGCAAATTCCTGGAATCTACACAAGATAAAATTATTGAATATTGAAAAATTTAGGGAACTACTGTTGGTGACAAATTTGTAAAAGAAATTTCAGAAAAGGTAATTTACACAGTTGAAGATCGTCTCTAAGGATTTTAATAACTGATTTAGTAAGTTTTGCTCCAAAAAAATCAGGGATATAATATTATAAGAAATGAAGCAAAGCGAATGGAAACTGACTGATTGATGAGAAGCAAAGCATAAATGGTTTTCTTTAGATTGGAGTAGAGTTTGCAAGGATGTACCCAAGGGTGTCCCACTGGATTCACTTTTGTTCTAGATTTATCTCCATGGAATCATTCCACACTGTAGGCATTCTATAATACTTCTCTCTCTATGATATCAAAATTTGTTATAAATTGAAAAGGAGTTAGTGTTCAGTAAGGAGGAGAAGTGTAAAATATCTCTCGAGGATTTAACACAGTTTCACATCAAATTGCATCCAGGTGAATCATTTGTGAAGAAAACAGAAAATTCGTCAACACACGATGAGTAAATATTGAAAGACATAGAATGACAGACGTACCCCGGCACTCTAAGACAAAATTGTTCAAAATTTGAAGGTAGATAATGTGGAATAAATGTCATTGGTGCATTTTGGAATTTATAAACAAAGGCACAATATGTAATAACCAAACATATAATCTTGCATTTGCACAAGGGAGCAGTTAGGCCACAGAGAGTAAAGCTAAGGAGAACCTGTAGAATAGATTCTCACCACAGCAACATTCTGGTCAAAGTATAATTATGAGGAGAGTTTGGAGATGCTGTGATTAATTTTACTGAAGCAGAAAAGGGGGATATTTTCCAAATTTCTTCTTCAACATTTATGACTTTACATGGCCCTATTTATGATATTTCCTATGATTGGTAAGGCAGTGATGAGGGGTTATCAATTTAAAATAATCACTGAGTTTGAGAGGAGAAATTATATTTCTTTACATAGAGTTGTTTAGCACAAGTTGCTTTGCCATTAAAAGTATTTGAGGCAGAGGCCACAGTATGTTCCAAGGGACAAGTAGAATAATATTTGGAGTAAAGGAAGCTTCAGTGAAGCAGGGAATTGAGATTAATTTTGGATTCCTCGAGTAAACAGAATGAACCAAATAGCTTTTTCTGTGTACTAAATATTTTATGTTTTACAGTAAAGCACAAGCTTTACCCTTTTAGTACTATGTAATCATCAACTGCCAATTAATCTGGTTTTGTTTTCACTCTTTCTACATGTTGGTATCTCAATTTTAGAAAGAAACATTTAATGATTTAAATTGCTTTTCTTTAATTTTCAAGCATACAAGCAATCAAGGACATTCTTATGTCTCTTTTTGGTTCTCCCACCAAAACTTGATACCTTAAGCCCCACTATTAATTTTGTTGAGTATTTTCTGATGACAAATTTGTACCCAGAAACAAAACAATTCTAGTTGATCAATTTGATCCTATTCCACAACATATTAACTTGAAGTACGTATAATTTGGTACAAAATCACTTTTACAAGTGAACAACTACGTAAATATTCAAAGTTCTGAGAACGTTTCAATATTCTATCTGAATTTTGTCTCAATTATCTCCGGTACCTAATTTATTTTAGAGACTCTGATGATCTTTTCTTGTAGGATGGCTGCTTTAAAGCTCAATCTTGGTTTTCAATCTGAAGGTTGCCAACATTCAATGAATATTCTAGGGTAATACCAAATTCCAGCTTCACATTAGATTTTTTTTCCCAGCAGGATATTATAATCAGGTGATAGACCTCTACCTTGTGAATCTCTCATTTGATATGGAAAACCAACTTTGAAGTCGAAGATTGCAACTTTACTCCAGAAAATGACTGCATGAAATGTTACTGATGCAAGATAGCAACAGGCTGCAACATCATAGAGAATTACCAGAAGTAACGCTTCTGAGTTAGTCTGCACTTAAAGACATCACAAAATGCCCAATGTAACCTCTTTATTTAAGAAAGGAGAAAGACAGAACTCAGGAACTACAGGCCAAATCCATTAATAAGGTGATGGCAGATCCTTTGAAAATTATAAATGGGATCAAGCATAAACAACATGGCTTTGCGAAAGGTGTTCATGTTAACTAATTTATTAGTGGTTTTGGTTGAAATAAGGTGGATACATGACCTGTAGATGTGGTGCACTTGGATTTCCAAAAGACATTTGGTAAGGAACCGTACCAAAGGATGTGGGGGAAAGGCAGGAACAGGCTACTGAGTTGATGATCAGTCATGATCATAATGAATGGCAGAGCAGGCTTGGAGAACCAAATGAATAAATGGATTTTTTTTTGAGTTGGCAAACTGTAACTAGAGAACACAGATCAGGGTTGTAGCCTCAACTACTTAAAATATAGAATGGATGAAGGGATCAAAGGTATGGTAGCTAAATTTGCTGATGGCACCAAGATAGGTAGGAAAGTAATTTGTAAAGGGGAAATAGAGAGTCTGCAAAAATATACAGGGCAAAAATTTGGTAAATGGATCATAATATGAGAAAATATGAACCTGGACACAATCAAAATTATGTCTATTTAAATGGAGACAGATTGCAAAACTTGGTAGTGCAGTGTGATTCCAGTGTCCTGGTACATGAATTACAAAAGATTAGGATGCAGATACTGCAAGTGGTTCAGAAAGCAAGCAGAATATGAGCAGAAAGGGAGTGGAAAATGAAAGTAGGAAAGTTTTCCACAGCTGTACAGGGCTTTGGTTAGCCTACATGAGCACTACATTTAGCCTCGTTTGAAAAAAAAGATGTGGAGGCGCCAGTGTTGGACTTTTTTTTTTCATTTATTCATTCATGGGATGAGGGCGTCACTGACTCGGCAGCATTTATTGCCCAGAGGGCAGTTAAGAGTCAACCACATTGCTGTGGGTCTGGAGTCACATGTAGGCCAGACCAGGTAAGGATGGCAGTTTTCTTCCCTAAGGGGCATTAGTGAACCAGATGGTTTTTTCTGACAATTGACAATGGACTCACGGTCATCATTAGATTCTTAATTCCAGATACTTATTGACTTCAAATTCCACCATCTGCCATGGCAGGATTTGAACCCGGGTCCCTAGAACGTTATCTGGGTCTCTGGATTAACAGTCCAGCGATAACGCCACTAGGCCATTGCCTCCCCTAAGGACTGGGGTGGACAAAGTCAGAAATCACACTATACCAGGTCATAGTCAAACAGGTTTATTTGAAAACACAAGCTTTCGGAGTCTTACTCCTTCTTCAGGTGTTAGTGAGAGAGGTAGTATCAGACACAGAATTTATAAGTAAAAGAGCAAAGGATCGTACCACTGATGAGGACGTACTAAACAAACCTAACATGTTGTTAAATCTTTAATCAGTTAGAAGGGTTTAATTGATTAATATGTATATGTAAATCCCTGAATTGCATTAGAAGCAGCTCAGATAACTTTTGGAGATGAAGTGCTTATCAAATGAGAAAATATTGGTCAGGTTCGACCTATACTCAGCTAAGTTCAGAAGGATGAGGGATAATCTTCTCAAAACAAAATAAAATCCTGAGGGATTGATAGGCTGGAGGCTAAAAGGATGTTTCTCCTTGTTGGAGAGAGTAGAATTTAGGGACATGGTTTAAGAATTACAGGTTCCCCTTTTAAACCAGAGATAGAGATTTTATTTTTCGCTGAGGATCATGAGTCTGTCGAATTCTCTTTCCCCAAAAGTAGTTCATCTCAGGAGGAACCAGTGAATTTATTCAAGATAGAGTTAGGTAGATTTTTGGGAGGCAATGAAATTGAGGGTTATGGGTGGGAAACATAAACACTTGAGTTCAGGTCACAGTGAGATAAATCACAATATTATTGAATGTTAAAGCAGGTTCAAAAGGCCAAATGGCTACTCCTGCTCTAAGTCCTATGTTTCCAAGTTCTAAAAACAAATTAGAAGCAAATTTGTAATCAAATATGAAAACTCAAAGTCTACTGATAATAGAATAATATGGTCTTTTTCATTGAAAGTTGAGAATTGGAATACTTACTAGCTGTATAGCTATCATAAGCACTGTCTTAAGGGTAAAGGTTCTGTCACAAAGGTCAAATAAATCTTCCAAGCTAGGTCCCAGTAATTCAAGCACCATAGCATTGTATTTGCCACATGGACCAAAGTAATAAACCTGAGGAATTCCATCTGTTAAAAAAAAAGACAAAAAAAGTATTATATCTACATTTTCTTACAAAATTCCATTCGTACTGTAATTTGAAACTTGGATTATAAATTAAAATTTCTAAAATTCTAAGTTTCCATTTTAATACACCGTGAACAATTTTATGACCTCTTATACCTCAACACTCAATTTTTGACATAAGCATACCAGTTTCCTTGCTATAAGAGGACAGGTTAAACAAGAGTTTTCAAATATTTGCCAAGGGGAGAATTGAATTATTAATATAAATTACAGGATAATTGAATGTCACAGTGGATTAGTTTTTGACCTTTGGACACTGGCTGCAAACTAAGTTAAAGTAATAAAATTAAAACTGTTCTCTATCAGCCCAAAGTCTTCCATGTGAAAGTGGTGTGACAACTCAATCCCTTTCATTGGGTGGAAAGCCATCAAATTTGTAATTCAATACAATCCGAACTGCACACTCAAAGTCGAAGTAACAAGCATATCAATTACAAAAATGCATGTGGAGCAAAGATTCCTTTCTTTGCAAGATTAGACTAAGAGGGGCCTTCACTTTGCATCTAATCCATAGTATACTTCAAAGTGAAGTACTCAGCAGCAACATATAATAAAATGCGTGAGAACATCATCACAGTAGCTGATTTTGCACGAATACTTCAATCTAAGCAAGTTATTTAATTCAATCTTATCACACCTCTAAAATGAGCTTCATGAATTTCTTTATGGGGAGAAGAAAGCAAACAATGCCTGTCTTACAATTACGATGACAATCTACAGCGTGTGGGTGGTGAAGCTGGTAAGTTTCTAACAGAATGCATGACAACAATCGGGCATGGGAATACAAGTGACTCCAAGTCTTATGTACTGAACATGATAAACAAGCTTGCAAAAACATGAATTAAAAAACAATTACAGAAACTGCAAATAAAGACCTTGCAGAATACAGACATATAATATACAGCAAAATGCATAATAGGTAGGTTTACAACAAATTATTTTCAAAGCATGTATAATATATGAATTTTTATTATTGTGAAGAAGGGTCACTGAACCTGAATTGTTAGTTCAGCTTTCTCTCCATAGATGCTGCCAGCATTTCTCCAACAATTTTTGTTTATGTTTCACATTTCCAGCATCTGCAGCTCTTTTGTTTTATATTTTATAATAAAAATGATAAACTGAGATGTACAAAAAAAATCTATCTGCCATTTTACCTTTCAACCCTATTTTTCTTTCTCTCTATTTCTGTTTTGAAAAGTGATTAACATTGAATTCACAATTCTCACTTACTACATACCTTGCACTATTTATTTCACATTTCATTAATCTTTTTGGCTCAAGAGCCAGCCCGGTTTACACAAGCCCTTGATGCTCTGTCAAGGGTGCCATGTCATTCTTCTCACACTTCCAGGAACAAACTGCGCAAGTTTAAACTGCCAGGGAAATTTTAATTAATAGGATTTGTTAACATGTTACATGAATTCTCGATCCAATATTTTGTGCTGGAACTGACTATCAGTATGTCCCCATAAGTCATTGAATGAGCATAACAAATCAGTGTCACAGTACAGAATTGATCATTCAACTATGAATGATACTCGAGCAGTAATTTTAATATGCATTTTGGACAGCTGCGTATTGAGCACGCCATCCATAGGCAATATCAGAGTGATAGCAATTTGTTCACAATTTCTGGCTATACAGAAAAGTATCTAATACATCGGTGTTGACAATTTCCTTTGTTCTCTGGGTCAAAGGAAGAGAGGCTTTTAAAACAATATGCACATGTTTAAACATCGATCAAGTACCAGCAAACTATGAAAGAAGAACTTCTGCTCTGGTATGGGAGAAATTATGCTTCTATGTTAAGTGATGAATCTAAAGTGAGTTGGCCTGTGCAGGTTTTATATGCAAGAATACACAAACAAAAGCTGTATGATTAAATCGAAGTGTCTCTCGTCAATCAATGTGCAGCAGCTTTTACAGAAAAACGGACAATTTTCAAATGCAAACAAAGGCAGTCTTGCTAACTGGCAGCATGATGGCTCAGTGGTTAGCACTGCTGCATCACAGCACCAGGAACCCAGATTCAACTCCACCCTCAGACAACTGCCTGTGTGGAGTTTGCACATTCTCCGTGTCTGCGTGGGATTCCTCCGCTTTTGTCCCACAGTCCAAAGATGTGCAGGTAAGGTGGATTGGCCATGGGAAAATGCAGGGTCACAGGAATAAAGTAGAGGGGTGGATCCGGGTGCGATGCTTTTCAGAGGGTCGGTGTAGACTCAATGGGCTGAATGGCGTGTTTCCACATTGTAGGGATTCAATGAACTGTGGTCACTCATCCAAACTTCACAATTGAACGCATACATGTGAAGAGCCCAAAAACGTGTGTGTGTGTGTGTGTGTGTGTGTGTGTGTGTGTGTGTGTGTGTG